TTCAGATTTTAAAACATCTTTAATTGTAAATAGGATTTTTTTTAATCGTAATAGGATTATTTTTATAACATTGTCTTTGAAAAGCCCCCTTGGGGAAAGTCAATAAAGTATGTTATGTTATGTTATGTTAAGAAATGAGCGAAATCCGTGTCTCAAGCAAAATCGACCGGACCGCTCTTACAGAGACACTCTCTTAATACAGGGGTATACAGCAACCACGTGAAAACTTTGTGGTCTCACATCTTATCGATGATCCTCATCTGCTATGAAAATATTCGTTTTCAGGGACATTCGTCTGATAAATGCGCTCGTTGTTTGTAAAATGAACAATCTTGGTAAATTTTGCCATCTTGCGGAATGTGAGGAAAGTTCTAAGCACACTCTAGTGAAAGATTTATTTTTCATATTAGGATAAAGTATTCAATCTGTGATCAAAATCTTTTGCGCTTTAACAAAACGGTAATGAACTAAAAGAACGATGTTTCCATAAAACCGAGCAAAGGAACTTCCAGTACAAAAAAAAAAAGAGAAATAAAGTCCATCTTTGGCCTGGCCTACACTGTGGACGGTAGATTATACTCAAACTGTCGATTACTTCTCAAGACTGAAAACAAAAGGGAATTTCTCTTTAATTATTCTTGTATTATTCATGAAAAAGAAATAAAGTAATGTGATCTTGAGGGTGTTCATTGCAAGTACGTTTTGACAGCTAGTACAAAATATCAAGAAATTAAGAATGGTGAAATTAGAACTCATACTGTAGATTATTCCTTTCTGATTCCTTTTGATTTTCATGGATTTTCCAGGGCTGAATTTGCATTTTTTTAATTGTCTTCTTTTTTCTTAATCAAAGCGAATAATGCACCAAAAATAAACCAGCGAGTCAGGCTTATTTTCTAAAAATCAATGAACTTCCTTTTCAATTAAGAAGGGGCCTCCTTCCCATTTCTATTGTTTCCGGCTTAAGTCAAGAGACTGGGGAGAGAAATTTTCTGACAGAGTTTTCTCACGCGATTAAAGAGACCAAAAGTTTGGTTCGATCAAAAAATCCTGCCACAAATTTTTAATGATAATGACACTTTTTGAAAAGACCTCTGAGCTCGATATCAAAGGAATATCAAACATGAGTATAATTTTAGTCTGATACAACTGTCTATCACTTGAGGAAAATGTGGAAAAGGCAGAAAAAAACTGAATTTTAAAACCAAAACTGTTGGAAATTTAAAAAAAAAGGTTTTTCGTGTCACTGTGAATTGATATTTATTTGTTTCTACCTTGTATAAGCTTTCTTAAAATTGCTTTTAATATTTCAATCGTAACTGTTTTAAAACTGCAATTAATTCCATTGTCATTTCTTTTAGCCGGTTTGCAGATAATCTTCAAGTTCGCTTTAAAGTTTGTAAGACTTGTCACTAATTTTCAGACTGCTCCAACATAAAGGATGTACAAAAATAATTTTCGCTTTTAATGTTCACCCTCAAAAAGGTGAAAAACTGAAATCAGTGAGAATACGATTCAACCTAAGGGCAAACTGTTTCTTTTACATCACGCGACGAGATGAATGAACCAAAAAACTAGATCAAAGTAATTTATTTACGACAGTGTCTTCACTGAGTGACTTAGTGAGTAAGTGAGTTAACATTTGCATATCATACTCACAACTAAGAACAATTCTACACTTCGCTGAGCTGCAAGTTAACAAAGTTAATGTACTTCAACGCGGAAGCTGTGTCAGTCTAGTGGTACACATGGTCTACAAAGTCTTGCGTAAGAAGATAGTTCAGCCTATGACGCTTAAAGCTCACGAAGAAAGATAGTGTATTTTCTGTGAGGAACAGACCGTTACTTGACTGATTCCCTATAATCTTGTCGTAGTGTTATTGATCAGAACGCTTACTTTTCAAATGGATGTAGGCTGCGAACCTCTACCATTAATTTTGTTCGATTGCTTTGTTAGGCTATACAATAAACCCAAACAACTTTGGTTAAAAATCAAGAGATTTTTCTGGTAGTATTTAACTAAGTCATGGTATATACCTGCATAAAAGTGGGAAAAAGAGGATTACAATCTTTTTACTTCAGTCACGTTATCACACACACCTTTGTGTAGTAGATACTTGCTGAAATTTTTAACCAAAATATTTGTCGATATTCTATAAAGATAAAAAACATGCAGAATCGTATTGTGTGGTTCTAACATTAGTCAAGATGTTTTGAAAGTTTTTGATCTCTTTCGAGCTACAAAACACTTATAAATCATGGCATGGGTTGGCCTCATTACTGAGCTTTAACTTTACGATCACATATGGGATAAGTAACTTTTTTATCGCAAAGGCATACATGAATGTTTTTTTTTTGGTCCTGTCCTGTCCTGTCCTGTGAGTATTAAGTCATGTTATGTTGTGCAAAAATCGCCACTGAATGAAATGAATTCGTCACAAAGCCGGAGTTCGTCAAACTTCTGTAGCCTCACATATTGCTCATCATTCTCATCAACTAAGGATAGATTAGTTTTCAGTAACATTCATCTGATAAGTAAGCTCGTTACCTGGTAATAGCTTGCTACAACAATATTTTCAAATGTTCCATGCCATAATGCGGAATGTCAGGATATCTTGCAGACAGTTGTGTTAAAAGGTTGTCTCTCTTGTTTAAAATTTGAATGCATGTAGCTTGATCCCTTGAGGCTTTATTGTAAATACATTCTGACGGCCGGTAGAAATGCAGATGGAAAACGAAGCATTATAAAGATACTGCAGACCATTCTTTGCAAGTTTCTTTGCGGAATACTGGCAATACAACATCATTGATTCCCCAAGATTATCAAATGCTCTAATGAAGGGATAACGCTCGAAACGTCTGCTTCAGAAACTCTTTATGATGGCCAATCTACATAGTCAACTCAGCTGGTAAAGCCAAATTATTTTGCAATACCCCACAAAAGTTTCTCTATAAACTTAACCCGTTGATTAATGTTGTTTATAGAAACTATGCATGGGGAAAGTTCTCGTAGCAAAAGTGAAGATTAATGCTGATTTGTTTATCTTTGTCCTGTGACTTTAAGGTCATATCATGTTGTACAAAAATCACAACTTAAGTAAAACGAAAGGTGACAAACCGAGTTGATCAAATCATTGTTACCTCAAATCTTGGCAATCATCCTCATCAGCTATGAATAAATTCGTTTTCAGTCATATAATTTAGATAAGTGAGCTCATTACTTGGTGATAAACTGTTAGAGGAACATTTTCAAATGTTCTAGAACGTTATAGTTAAAGGTTTATCAATCCTTCTTGGGTTTTTAAGAAACCCACGACCTTTCAAAAACCCCCCTAATTGATGACAAGACCCCCCGACACACGACCATTAATCAAACCCAAGCATGGGGCTTTTTTTTTTTTTACTAGATAAGATGAACAAACGAAACAGTTAGATCAAAAATCACTTAAATAGCAGTTGACTTTCACAGCATGACAGTCACATAGTCCGTTTCAAAAAAACTGTGCAGGTCAAATTAATTTTACAAGTTTCACCAAATGTAATCCGTTGATGTACTTATCCTCTTCTTCACTTATTTTTTGTTTTAAGTCGATATTGTGAATTCCAACACTTACAGTTCGTGACAAAAAGTTTCCAGGTGTAAGAGACCCAGCCCGTTTTTGTAACTTAACATGTGCGTTCCTGTTTGTAGTGACTCATTATGAATCTAGATTATCAACTCGTTTAGTATTGTGTTACTAAAAATAATGTTTCCCTGATAACAGGAGAGGATGGCAATGGAAACCTAACAGCATAAGCCATGATAGCTTTCATGAGCATCGCCTTACTTGTTGCCCTGTTCCTGCTCAACTCAGATCGCATTCAGAAAGCCATCGAGATATCCAGGGAATGTTTGATTTTGCTAAATAGCACCGATCAAAATAGCAAAGACCAATTTAATTCAGTACTGCGACAGTTTTACATCGACATCTATACGCTTCTTTTCAACTCTTATCGTCATATCTCCGACCACATAAGTGCGGAAAGATACAGCAGAAAACTGTTTGTCTTAAACAGCAAGTCTGGAATTATGCTTTCTAAACTTAACCAAATTCTAATGGAGTGAAAAGGTCATAGACAGGCCTACACAGACTCCCCTGTGTGGTTTTACGTTTGCGACGCAAAAGCCTTTAATTAAAGCTTCGCTCTGACGAGTATGTCTTTGAGCGATTTACCTCTTTTGTATGATATAATCGGAGGCGTTTTGTAAATTGTTTTCAGCAGTGGCTGATTTTGGATGAGGTTCCATTCTTGCATCAGTATTTGTTTTAAATTTTTAACCCCTGGGTGGTATGCTGTCACAAAAGGCAATATTTTGCCTTTAGTTTTTTGTTTGTTTTTTAAGTGTCGACTGCCTTGCGGCAAACGAGACCTCAGATAACGTTTTTTTTTTCAATTAGGCTTTTTGGGTAACCACGTGCTTCAAGTCGTGTTTTGAAGTTACACATGGCCTCCTGGAAATTTCTTTCCGAGGAGTTTGTTCTTAGAAGTCTGATAGCTTCTCCTTTAATAAAGCCTTTCTTAACACCTGGCGGGTGGCAAGATGAATAGTGTGTATATTGAAAGGTCTCGGTCGGTTTGTAGTGAGTTTTGACGTCGAGGATAGCTTCGTTTTGGAATCTTTCACCTTTGTAGACAATCGTGTCTAAGAATGTGATTTCAGTCTCTGAGATTTCAGCCGTGAACTTTATAGTTGGATGGAACGTGTTAGCTTGTTCTATGAATAGATCAATGTCTTGTTAACGAACATCCCACAGGGAGAAAACGTCGTCAATGTAACGCTTCCATACTCTCGGCTTGATACTGCTTTGGTGAAGCAGTTTTGTTTCAATTTCTGCCATAAAGAGATTGGCGAAAGCAACCGCCATTCGTGTTCCCATGGCAGTTCCAAAACAGTGGAGATAGTTTACTCCGTTGAACTGGAACGAATTTTCTTTCAGTATAAGCCCGAGCATTTGTTTTTAGTAGTGGGACGGAATGGGAGGGCTGTTATTGTGGTATTTTTCATATGCTTGGCATACTATTGTGATACCCTCTTCTTGTGGGATGTTTGTGTACAAGCTTGTTACATCCATTGATACTAAAATAGTATCATTTGACACTTGCGTTTTCTCTATAAAGTTGATGAAATCAGTCGTATCTTTGAGATACGATGTTTGCTTTTGAGCAATAGGCTGTAATAAATGATCCACAAAGGATGATATCCTTTCAGTTGGTCCTTCGCAGCCCGATATAATCGGTCTACCCACTGGCAAAGGTTTGTGGATTTTTGTTAAAGTGTAGAAAATCGGTATTCTGGGCGGATTGGGAGTCTGTGAAAGCCACTTTTTTGTCATATCGTCTATATGTTTGCCATTGTGCAGTTGAGCAATAAGCTCATTGACTTTTTTTAATGTGTCAGTGACCATGGGGTTTTCAAGAGGTCGGTAGTGGTCTCTGTTGTCGAGCTGAACCTGGGCCTCTTGAATTTTGTCTCTCTTGTTGAGAATCACTGTTGTGGTGCCTTAGTCAGCACGTTTAAGGTTGATGGCAGTATTGTTTTGCAGTTCTTTGACTGCTTTGTGTTCGTTGTATGACAGGTTGTGTTTTGGCTTTGTTATTTCTATTTCAGCAAGGCTTAACTTGATATTTTCGAAGTAGCGTTCAAGGGCAATAGAAGGTTGTACTGGTGGTATCCAGTTTGATTTGACGTGAAAAGGATGTGGTTCCTTGTCATTCCCGTGGAATATATATCTAAGTCTCATTCGCCTAGCGAATTGTTCGAAGTCACGCAACAATTGTTGCCTGATCTTATTTTCATTTGTCACGGGTGTTTCAATAAATTTAAGCCCTTTTGCTAACACGGGCATAGGGTAAAATATGGACTGGACTATTTTTTGGACCATTTTTTGGACCATTTTTTGGACCATTTTTTGGACTATTTTTTGGACCATTTTGAAGGGGGGAGCACACCATTAGTACTGAGGGAGGGGTAGGATGAAGTCTATCAGCACTAAGGGAGGGGTGGGAGATGGAGTGTTATTACTTAGGGAGGGGTGTGAGACGGATTATTACTACGCAGGGAGGGGTGGGAGGTGATTGTAATAGGAAACACTGCTAGCTAATGGAGCTTTTACTCGATTATACAAACAATTTTAATTGGTTTTTCGACTGAGTTTTTGTATGTCAAAACTTTTCATTTTTCGCCCTTTCTGTAGTCACTCGCTTGTGTAGTGTATTTTTTCTACGCTTTTTGCGTTTATTATTCTTGGATAGCCTTTTTGCTGCAGTGGGTTTGGCGACTGATTTTTCAGAGATGACACTGTTGTACTTTTCAACATGTTTATTATCACTCTGAAAGCGTGTACATATAAGGTCTTTCAGCTCTGAAAGCTGATTTTCTATTTTGTCTATCCTGTCGACATCAGTATTTACAGTGTTCCTCAAGGGCGAACGTGATCTTTCACGTGTATTTATATTGTATTGTGATCGAGACTTGGCAATATTAGCCTTTTCAAGTTTGTTCTTGTGACTAACAAGTCTACGCTGATGGAAGCGCACTAGGGCGCTAACATATTGTTCTTCGGCGTCACTTTTAATAGCGCTTATCTCCTGTCGAAAGGTTTCGTCAGGCGTGACGTTTGCCTTCGCCTTGTATTGAAGCGACTTAGGGCAAGTCTTTTGTTGTAAGTGTCTCTCCAGTTTTAAAATGGAGGTTTCAGTTTTTTGCTTCTTGAACTGGATAGCGCTGATGGTGTCTTCATGTTTCCTCTTCCTTGGCTGCCGCGTGGATCGGCTATTCCTCGGAAGGTTTTCTTTTTGACGGCTTTCTTTTTGAAGGCGTAGACCTTCGTTGCTGCGTTGTTTGGCTAATTCAGCTTTATGCCTTGGCTCGAGTTGTGATGCTGGAGGGCTATCCTCTGGGTCCGATTCTAGGTTCGGATCAGTGTACGTTAATTCCAACGCCTCGTCCAAACCCTTTGACTCCCAAGATCTCATTAGTAATTCTCCTTACTGTCTGCCCAACAATTCTTTTCATGTCAGTTCTGAGAAGTTGGGTATTGGATCAGCTATTAATCCCTAATTGATATTTTTCTTCATTCTCATCACTTGTCTGCTTGATATTGTACTGATATTGTAAGGAGAAATTCTTTCCTGGTCACTTGTGGGGTTAAAGGGTCAAGTTAACCGAGGGTCATGTGAAGTTTCTCATTATTTACCTGTCTCACAGCATCTTGCAGCTCAAGATTGGTGACAATCTCATCTGGAATCTGACGAACAACTCTTCTCTTATTTGCTCCTATTTCTTGAATAACAGGGAATGTAAGGCATTTCAATAACAGTGACTATTTTTTTTTTAATCCCTTGACAATATTTGCTCAAGGAACAGAAAGTTTGATCGGAATATTTTCAGCAAGATTTCCGTACAGTCCCATACAATTGTAAAACAAAGGTAATCTATTGTTTTCGCCATCGTTTTCTTTCAGTTATCCAAGATATGTATGCATAATGAAGAATGGAGCTGAGCGGAAATCTTACCATATTAACATCCCCCAGGGATCAGAGACTTAGGCATGTATACTGGGTCCAGGGCTGGGGATTTCGACTAGTATATCAAATTATAAGTAACAGTGCAAGGTTACAGACAAGGAAATTAAAACAAAACAAACCAAAACAAGCAAAAAAAAAAACAACTCAGTTTTCATCCATTTATTGGGCTTAGGATACATATTAAAGTACGACATGAACGTAAAAATTATACCGTGTGCATCTAAAGGAAAGGAATACGACAAAAAAAGGAAGAGAAAGGAAGAAATTGCGTTAAAAATGGGTTTGAGAGTGGGAACGATTACAATTCTGTTCCTTCGACGTAAACGTGTGCATGTGCATAGTGAATTACAAGCCGATATCAACTACATTGTACCTACGAGTTTTTCAGTCGTCTTTCCAGCATTAAACTTAGTTCCCACAAATCTCCTTCTTATGTTATTCTGGGCAGAAACTCGAGTACAACTCGCTTTGTCCTCTAACGCGCAGCCTTCTGATGCCTCGGACATGTTTGGTAGGTAAACCGTGTTTCACCGCATATGAGGGATTTAGGGCTGTGACTAAAAGTGAGACTGAGACGTGAGAACTGGGACTCGGGGACGTGGACTCTGTGACGTGGCACTCGGGGACGTGAGACTCGGGGACTTAAACAAACCTGATTTTTGCGCCGAATTTGTAAAGTATAATTTTCGGTGGTCTCGAGAAAAGAGTAATATGATGGAGAGCTTGTCTGTAGTAGCCGATGATTTCCAGCGTCCATGGTTCGGCTGGATTTGTTTGCTTGCCTGTTTGACCGTGAGAACTCTGGGTACAGAATAATTTCAACGCAGGGGGTTTTAAACATCGTGAGCAGCCATGGAGGACTTTCTTGGTAAATAACTGTGTTTTCTTCCCTATTATTTTTTAGCAAGGATAAGGCACGGATCGGGAAGAAAACACAGTTACTTACAAGGAAAGTCCTCCATAGCTGCCCACGGTATTTTTTTAAAACTGTTTCAAGACCCCTTGCGTCGAAACCATTCTATACCCAGAGTTCTCACAGTCAAATAGGCAAGCAAACATGTCCGGCCGAACCATGGACTACTACTAACAAGCTCTCCAGCATAATATATAGATTTAGCCAAGCCTAAAAGCGGAGCTCGCATTTTCTTTTCCCCGCACGTCTCAAGGACACAACGCCTTGCCCCGGCCAGGACTAGAACCTGGGTCGTCTGACTCGGAGTCCAGTGCACTGACCACTGTACTACTGAACAAAGCCTGGTATTGGCGTCCCCGCGATCACAGTTGACCACGCATATGTTAAAAGTAGCACCTTGTACGGTCGTACGATCGTACATCCAATTTTTTTCGGCTTGATGGGTTACTACTATTTTGTAATATATAGATTTAGCCAAGCCTAAAAGCAGAACTCGCATTTTTTTCCGCACGTCTCAAGGGCACAACGCCTTGCCCTAGCCAGGACTAGAACCTGGGTCGTCCGACTCGGAGCCCTCTATGGAACTAACAAAAAAAGTGCCTTACAAATTAAATCAAGGCTAGAAATGGTGAAATTAATTACTGATATAAATTAACTAAGCTTACAGCATGACAGTTTATTAGCAACGAATTAATTTTCGTAAGTATTCATTCAAAAATATCCTAAAGAAAAAGGAGGAAAAGCTTGACAAAAATAAGTACTTAGCTTTTCAACGAAGGTGACTCTTTCTATGTCAAAGGTGAACTCGTGTAGTGTCTTCGTCGTCTGAAGAGTCAAATATGCATGTTATTCCTCTATAAGTTTGTTGTTTATGTGCTTCTGTTGAAGACGAGGACGACTTGATGTTGAAATTTCTTCCGTAAAGCACAGCATCCTCGAATAGCCCTGCTGCTGTCGGCGTTTGACTTTGTTGTTACGTTGTTTCGACAAGAGTGTGTTTCAGTCTGAACTAATGAAGTCGGGCCACTCAATATTCTTGACATACTTTTCCATTGTTTTTTGTGAAAGATGACTGTAGTTGTAAGTACTCTGCACATTTTTGTGTCCTTATAACTGCATTATATATGATTAGAAGGAATACCCTTATCATTCAATGTTTGAATCATTCGTTTTCACGCACTGTGGTTCGTAAGGTGAGAGTTGTTTTCATGAGACTGTTAAGTTTGTTAACTCCCATTGCATTGGCTTTGAACCAACTTTTATCAGAGTTTTTTGTAGTATGATTAACACCCGATAAAGGGGTGCATTTGATTTGTTCTGGACTGTGGTCTCTTTTCAGAATAGATTTGAACACAACAACAACATCTCGTTCGTGCGGTAAATCTGGAGTCGCGAAAGCTTTAGGTTTGATAGGTCGGACTTTACGTGAATCAGCTTCACTTCTGGTTTTAGTTTGTCTTTCAGTGACCTATGAGAGCGTGCGAACTATCTCAATTATCTTATAACCGTTTGTAGTTTTGTCTTCGATCGTGAAAATCACACCCGCTAGAAAACGAAAAGTTCACGAGGACATTGTGATGAAAATCAAACCATTCCAAAGGGATGGACCATGAAGCCTTAGGTTTTCTGATAAGAGGAAATAAATGTTTCATTTTTGCATGCTCAAATCCATCTGAGGTTGAAAAAGGGTGATGTGCAAAACCGAAATAGATTCACTGCGGAGTAAACTACGGATTGGTTTTCCATATCAGTCTGAAAAGTTGATTATCGCGCAAAGATAGCTTACCGTTCAAAGAAAGAAGCTTTGGTTCTACTGGTATCGATCTTGGGATGAAAATCTTCCAATGGGATAGACACAGAAGCCTGACGTTCCCTGTTAAAAGGAATGAAATAAGTTATTATTACATGTTCAATTCCATCAGTGGTTATAAAAGAGTGATGTACAAATCCGAAATTCATTTGCTAGAGTTGGAAGACTCGCATCGTTTGAGGAAATGCTGATTCGCTCTCCATATCTCCCTCTCATTAATTCTCCCTTATTTTTTTCTCAGAGGGCACGGCAACGTATCCTTCAATCTGATTGGTTCTTTACGCGGTCCGTATCCGTTTTTCCCGACAGGCAGCATTTCTAAGCAAAGACGTCGGTCACTAACTCAAACCTATTACTAACTTATGAATCCTCTCTTTTCTCTTTCTCAAATCATCTTGGTTGACAGAAAAATATTGGTTTCGAAATTAATTTCTATAAGCTTAAGTGCCATTAAATTGGTTGATAAGCGGCCTAAAACCTGTCTGTAATTAATTTCAACCTTTACAAAAAATACTTAGAAAGTTACAACGTGAGGTATTTGGTCAAAATTGAATTAATCGATAGAACCTTCATTCATTTAATATCCTAGTTCTGTCAAACAATTTGTTCGTTGTAAAAGGACGAGCGAAGTTTTCAGTTCTACAACAAATATACGAATTAAATCCCCTTGTGTCTCGTTGAAATGTCTCAGCTCATTCGAATTTAGATTTTGTGTGAAGGAAAGACCAGATTTACACACGCCATTGCAGCAAACAAACGAGCAAACTCTTACAACTTCAAAATAGAAAATTTGAATTTACTTGCAATTATTTTCCTCGCCATTTACTTCATGAGCAGCAGTAAATCTTCGCACATGAATTAATCGTCGACGAGAGTGAATAATACTTTCCGCCAGATCATTGACTGTTTTTGGAGAAAACATTGTCGTGACAGTCCTTGCTAAACTAGTTTGGTTGTTTTTTCAAAAGTGTACATGCCCTTTTTTTTTCTTACGCGCTCTTCAATTAACTTGTGTCAGATTGTGACAGATACTTGTAAAAATGTTTCAAAGTTTGTTAGGAAGAATTTTAAATCACCCTTATCTTATTCATTACGTACATGGAAATGTTTTGATGCAGCATCTCTCTTTAATTTGCATCACCTCTATTTTAACTATCATTTACCCGCTCAAATATTGCTCAATTTATGGAGGATCCTGCTGTAATTACAGCCCTAAATCATTCGGGATGTTTTGGAGGGAATTTAGTTCAGTTTAAGGAAAAAATAAAGATGTTATTCACCAGTCTAAGTCAGTCCGCCCGAGGCCGTGGGCTGGCAAATAACATATATTTATTTGATGCTACTTCAGCAACAACGAAACCAACTTAAACTGATTTGCACCATAAACTCCAGTGTGTTCGCGGACTCATTGTAGTTGTAGAAAACATAGTAATTTCTTTTACCATCGAGTATGATCATGTTGAAATACATGTAATACATACTATTACTCTTTGTGGAAGCCACAAACAGCGCTAAAATACACAACTGAACAACAGCCATTTTCCTCATCAAAGAGGGGCCTCG